TCTCACACCCCTCACACCAGCACTCACTCTCTCACACCCCTCACACCAGCACTCACTCTCTCACACCCCTCACACCAGCACTCACTCTCTCACACCCCTCACACCAGCACTCACTCTCTCACACCCCTCACACCAGCACTCACTCTCTCACACCCCTCACACCAGCACTCACTCTCTCACACCCCTCACACCAGCACTCACTCTCTCACACCCCTCACACCAACACTCACTCTCTCACACCCGTCACGCCAACACTCACTCTCTCACACCCCTCACACCATCACTCACGCGCACAAGCACGACGCTGTACAGGGAGAACTTCTGAGTCAGGCATTCCAGCTGCATCATCAGAGCATTGTACCAATATTTACACTAGCACAGCACTCGCACGTTCCCGCACACCAGCACTCACGCGCATGATCACGAAGCTGTACAGGGGGCACTTCTAAGTCACGTTGAATTTTGAGAATTCCCGAGAGTCACACCAACACCATCTTTCACACCATAATAACTCACGCGCATGATCACGTAGCTGTACAGGGAGCACTTCTGAGTCATGTATTTCAGCCGCATCAGCCACGACGCCATCGCGCCTGCTCTGCTCTCCTCTGCTCTGCACTGCTCGCTCGCGCCTAACTGAAGCCTCCTGTTACTATTGGCTCAGCTGCTCGTCAGGTGGTTACACGCCGTCACGCCGTCAGGTGGTTACCAATCCGCTCCGCTCGCTCGCGTGGTATGATCCTCGAACCGCATTTACGAGCACGCGAAGCAGCAAGAGTAAAGATACGGTCGACGCGGCTTCGACGCCGAGTGGCTCTAGTGCACTGAGTCGGATCGTACTCTGTATCTGATCGTACTCTGTATCTGATCTTACTCTGTATCTGATCGTATGAGTGAAAACCGCTAACCAATGTCGAGAACAAGCGATGCGAGCACGACGATAACAGCGACGGCAAATCCTCGTGATAAAGGGTTGTTCCTGAGATGGATCAAAGACGATACTGACGGCCAAGCCTCAGATTCTAGGGTTTTTTTACGGAGAAGATACGCAGCAGCAGACGACTGCGAAGCAGATTCTGCGATCGGGTGACGATCGCGCGTTGAATCTACTCGCTACAAAAAACGAGCAGCGCGGATGTGAGACTACTGCACCCCCTGCTACTCGAACAGCCAAGGACAGACGGAGAAGCGAGAGACCATAGAAAGAGGTATAAGGTGTTCTATCCCTTATCGTCCCCTCATTCTAAGTTATGCAGATGGGATGGCTGGAGGAGCCATGTCTACCTAGTTTGCTACGAATAGTAAGGACGTGGTAAGAGTGTAGGTTCGATCGCTTCAGGTTCGTTTTTTAACGCGGTTGTATAAGGTTGTGTACTTTTTGTAGGCGAAAAGCGAGATTTCAGTGCGGTAGCCGTTTCGATTTTCCCCGATCGAGCACTTGTACCGCGTCCTAAGGTACCAGTGGATGGATGCGAGGGCGTGTTTATAATCAGCAGGCATTCGGCTATGGAGGAAGTTTCGTTACAGTTGGAAATGCGGGGGCACCCCACATTGTTCTCCTGGGAGTTTCGCAAATGACGGGTGGCAGGAAACGACAAGAAAGTCGACAATAACGACGGTCGTGAAGGCCAATGAATGGCATTACGAGCACGTTTACTCAACATTCTCGAAACCTCGTTACCATACAGCACATTCAGCTCAGTTCGCTATCTGGAAGTGCCCAAGGCCAGAGTGGAACAACGGACCTGGGAACAAGACTATAGATTCGTTCCCCCAGTGAATCCTGCATTACGAGTCGCAGCAGTGTACGGTTCTGCTGGAAACTTGGTTAGGTGATGGTTTCTAGGATTGTTTGTTCCGGGTTTTCAGGAGGCATTTCGGACGGTGTAATGCAGGTCTAGACCACGTAGCCTGTGCGAGTCGCCGACCTGTGAACCATTTGACTGCCGACGACGTAGAGTGAGCGAGTAAGTAAGCTCGGAACCGAGCGAGCAGCGAGGGTTGCGCAGGGTGGAGCGAGTAAGAGTGGCCGGAATGCCACGTGACGCTGAGTCAGCGGGATAGTTTAGAAGCTGAGCGCGCCGGTGCTGCGGGAGAGAGGAGCAGGAGCTTACGAACCGCGAGCGAGTGGGGGTGGGTAGCGGCGGAGCAGAGATAGGGAGTGAGGGAGAAAGGGAGTGAGGGAGTGAGTGAGGAAGCTCTTGACGGAGCGTTTCAGAAAACACAAGTCGACTGTCAATGAGTGATGGAGAGACGAATTATGCTAGGTAGTAGGCTGAGGAGACAGTGTGCGCGGCGATAGTACCTGAGGTGGTCGTCGCGACTCGCGAGGACCAACGGTAGGAGTCGAGGACTAGTAGCTCCTCCAGTTGACTTTTGAGTCGACTCAAAAGTCAACTCGAGGCCTAGTTCCTCCAGTCGGCGCGCGCGCGACGCGTGACGGACGCAACGATTTGAGAATACCGCGACGCGGAATGACCTTTGAGGCGGCTCCGCGAATTTCGGTTGTGCACACTGCTACTGCACAGCAACGCATCAGTTACCGTACTACACCCAACCCAGCCACACACGCGCGTGTCCTAATTTAGAACCCTCCCGTTACAACCACTTCATCGCAATGGGTCCCCTCCGCGATCTACAGTACCTTCTCGAACCTTCGTCGCTCGCGCTCGTCGCAACCGCGCTCGCGGTCGTTCTCCTCTCCGCCTTCCGCGCGCTCGCGCACGACCGCGAATCCGAGCGCCACCGCGATTTGTCCGCTTCCGCCATAACCCTAGACGCGAACCGCGCGCTGCTGCTCCCGTTGGCGAGCTCCGCGTCGCTCCTGCTCATGTTTTACCTCTTCGCGACGGTTTCGCAGCTGGTTACCGCGTTCGCCGCCGTCGCGTCAGCGTCCGCGACCTGCTTCGCCCTGTCCCCGTTAGTAGCATGGTTGAACACGTCGCTAGGGCTGCAGGATCCGTTGATTACTGTACATATCCCGTCTTTTTCGCTATGGAATGGCCAACGCAGCAACAGCAGCAGTAGCAGGGGTGAGATTGGCAGCTTATTACTAGGCGACGGCGTGAGAGGCAGAGAGAGCAGGAACAGCAGCGACGGGAACAACAGGAGCAGAAGCAACGCTGCTAATGGAAAAACCGCCACCAGCACCACCACTAGCACCACCAGCACCAGCACCATCACCAACGGCACCAGCGGCAGCAGCCCTTACGTTCCCACCATCAGCCCCAGCAGTGACAGCAGCAGCAGCACGGTGTTGGGAGCGGTGACTCGCACGCAGCTGCTGCTGGGAGGGCTGAGCGGAGCGCTGGTGCTGAGCTGGCTGGTGTCGGGGCACTGGCTGCTCAACAACGCACTTGGTGCCGCCATCTGTGTGGCGTTTGTCAGCCACGTGCGCCTGCCCAACGTCAAGGTGAGATGGTATTGCTGTAGCACCAAGGTAACTAATGACAGGGTATCAGTGCTGGTGCTGAGCTGGCTGGTGTCGGGGCACTGGCTGCTCAACAACGCCCTTGGTGCCGCCATCTGTGTGGCTTTTGTCAGCCACATGCCCCTTCCATATGTCAAGGTGAGACGGTAACACTGTACATATTATCCATGTTGACAGTGCTGCTGCTGGGAGTGCCGAGCAGGGTGCTGGTGCTGGCGTGGCTGGTGTCGGGGCACTGACTGCCCAGCAACGAACTCAGTGCAGCCATCTTTGTTGCTTTTGTCAGCCACGTGTGCCTGCCAAATGTGAAGGTGAGGTAGTAACCATGTGGTGGCGTCAGGGTAACAGGGTAACATTGCAATGCTGGCTGCTCAACAACGCCCTTTTTGCCGCCATCAGTGTGGTGTTCGTCAGCCACGTGCGGTGCGGCTGCCCAACGCCCAGGTGAATTGGTAATGTCGTTATGGCGTGGTATTGGCGAGTCTCTCGTTTCATCACAATGAAGCATGCGACCTTATCCAAGCCTGAAAACATGATCTCTTTCGGGAAAAATGGAACTATACTTATTGCGCCGCAACCTCGCCCACTCATTTGCTCCCATCTTTCCCCCAAATCCTCCCACCTCTTCCCCCCATCTTCTCCCCTCCCGCTCCCACTGCCATATGCCTTCTCTTCTCTCCCCTTCCAGGCTATTCCACACACACTTTTACACTCTAATCCCTACCTCTCATGCCATCCCCTCTTCAGGTCTGCGCCCTCCTCCTGGCCTGTCTATTCGCGTACGACATCTTCTGGGTGTTCTACTATCTCCCACACACGCACATGTGCACTGCCAACCTCGCACACTCACACCCATCCCCACCCATTCGCACCCCTCCCCTCCCAGGTCTGTGCCCTGCTCCTCACCTGACTCTCTGCATACGACATCTTCTGGGTGTTCTTCCATCTCCCACACATGTGTACACTCTCCACCCACTTCCACCCATACACACCCATCTTCTTCAGGTCTGCGCCCTCCTCCTCGCGTTTCTATTCGCTCACATGTGTGCACTCCCACCCATATACACCCATCCCCTCCCAGGTCTGCGCCCTCCTCCTCGCCTGTCTATTCGCGTACGACATCTTCTGGGTGTTCTTCCATCTCCCACGCCCGTTTACACTCTACACCCATCCGCACCCATTCACACCCCTCACCCCTCAGGTCTGCGCCCTGCTCCTGGCGTGTCTATTCGCGTACGACATCTTCTGGGTGTTCTTCCATCTCCCACGCCCGTTTACACTCTACACCCATCCGCACCCATTCACACCCCTCACCCCTCAGGTCTGCGCCCTGCTCCTGGCGTGTCTATTCGCGTACGACATCTTCTGGGTGTTCTTCTCACACCGCTTCTTTGGAGCCAACGTGATGCTCTCAGTCGCCACGCAGCACGCCCATTCTCTTGCCGACTCCACTCCCTCCCTCCCATTTCCCCCACCCTCGTTCTCCCACCTCTCCCTCCCATTTTTCACCCGCTTTTTCAGTGTTTTTTCCTCTCCCTCTCCCCCTGCTGTGCGATCCTCCCCCCTTCAGGTCTGCGCCCTGCTCCTGGCGTGTCTATTCGCGTACGACATCTTCTGGGTGTTCTTCTCACACCGCTTCTTCGGGGCCAACGTGATGCTCTCAGTCGCCACGCAGCACGCCCACAACCCCGCCCACTCCGTCGCGCACTCGCTGCACCTGCCCTCCGCAGTGGCGGGGTCGATCGTTAGAGAAATCGAGCTTCCCGTGAAGCTGCTTTTCCCGAGGGACCTGTTCGGAGAGCTCAACATCTTTTCGGGGGAGAAAGGCAGGCGGGCGCGTGATTTCATGGTGCTCGGACTAGGCGATATGGTGAGTTGTTAGAAATCATGTTCGGAAGTTGGAAGCCCACTCCGTCGCACACTCTCTGCGCCTTCCCTTCGCAGTGGCAGGGTCGATTGTGAGGGAAATCAAATTACCCATGAAGCTGCTGTAACTGTTCCCACAAGATTTGTTAAGAGAGCTCTACATTTCCTCGAAGCAGCGAGGAAGGAGAGCGCGGGACTTCATGGTGCTGGGACTAGGAGACATGGTGAGTTGATGGAGTGGAGTTTAGAAATTGGCAGCACTCTCTCCGCCTGCCCTCCGCAGTGGCGGGGTTGATCGTGAGGGACATAGAGCTGCCTGCGAAGCTGCTGTTCCCACGAGATTTGTTAAGAGAGCTCAACAGCTTTTCGGGGGAGAAAGGCAGGCAGGCAGGTGATTTCATGGTGCTATAACTGGGCGACATGGTGAGTTGGTGAAATCGTGTTTGGAGATTGGAAGCACTTGCTGTCTGCGCCCACTCCGTCGCTCACTCTCTGCGCCTGCCCTCTGCAGTGGCGGGGTCGGTCGTGAGGGACATAGAGCTGCCCGCGAAGCTGCTGTTCCCACGAGATTTGTTAAGAGAGCTCAACAGCTTTTCGGGGGAGAGAGGCAGGAGGCGATTTCAAAGGCACCTATAATTTCGGGGGACGAAGAGGGTTGGAGCACGGGAGCTTATGTAGCTGACTCTTGTGCTGTGTGTGAACAGGAGCAGCAAAAGCAGGGTACTGTATAAGTACTCACCAGCACTCTTCTTCCCATCCCTCCCTCCTCTGCAGGCCATACCAGGCATGCTACTGGCCCTTGTTCTGTGCGTGGACCAGCACAAGAGGCGGCAGCAGCAGGAGCGGCAGCAGGAGCGGGAGCTGGAGGTCCTAGAGGCAGGGAAGGGAGGGCAAGAACAGCAGCAAGAGCCGCATGAGCATTCTCAACAGCACACTCAGCAGCACTCTAAGGGCAATTTGAGCCGCCCACTACTGGACTCGTTGCCTGCAGCAGGGGAGCAGGGGAGTGGGTACCTGGGCTATGTGTGGGTGGCAGCGGTGGGGTATGCCGTAGGACTCGTGGCTGCTCTGGCTGCTGGCGTGCTCACAAGATCGCCCCAACCTGCCTTGCTCTACCTGGTATGCAAAGCACACTCCGTTTTATGATTGATATGCTGAGCACGCTTCTATCTGCTGGTTGGTATGTCGATGTGCTGTGGGTGCAATTCAGCGGTGTATGCCGTGGGGCTCGTGGCTGCTCTCGCTGCTGGCGTGCTCACCAGATCACCCCAACCTGCTCTGCTCTACCTGCTATGCTGTGTACACTTTTGTTTGATCGTCACACCCGTAATGGTTGTTAGAAATAGGCTGTCAACACTTTGTACTATATTCCATATCGGTTAGGTTATTTTGTAGGTTGGGTGTAGATTGTAATCCCAACCCTATCTGGTTGGGATTCCCTCGTAATCCAGCAAATCTGCCAACTCACCATTTGGAGATTTGCTAGGATTCCCATCCCATCCTTTCCCTAGCTTTGCCCAACCCAACGTTGTTTGTACTTAAGGCCTAGCGCATTCTTTACTAATCAATCAGTTCAGCTCCAATTCTATCAATAGTTGCTACTACAAGGCGGGGCATGCTGTGGGACTAGTGGCTGCTCCAGCCGCTTGTGTGCTCACCAGATTGCCTTGACCTGATATGCTCACCTTTTTTCTACCCACCCTCCCTTCAGGTGCCAATACTCTCGGCCCCGTGTCGCTGGTGGAGTGGAGAAGAGGCGAGCAGGCAGATTGGACTTACACACAACCTCTTGCACCCTCCCCCTCGCCCATTCCCTCTCCCTCCTCCTCTCCCAGGTGCCTTCAACTCTCGGCCCCGTGTCGCTAGTGGCATGGAGAAGAGGCGAGCTGGCAGATCTGTGGGACGGCTCGCCAGACCTCATCCCCTTCGATCGGGACAAGCTTGAAACTCTGGATGTTTGAATGGCGAGTGAGATTCAAATTGAGTCGTGAAGAATGTCACCACTCCAACAGGGACAGGCATAAAACACTCGACGTCTGACTGGATGATTCTCAAACACCATCTCCCTGTGTTGCTAGTGGCGTGAAGCAGAGCTGGCATGGGATTTGCCAGGGTTGGCAGCAAGGATGTCGATATCAGACGAAATTCGTCTGATGGTCTGAAAATCAGACTCGTTTTTTAGTATTCATCTGAATTTGCAGACAGTGAATTATTTTTCATCTGAATCACTAGATGTGCTAAATTTATCCGTCTGATTTTTGAACGTCTGGTGGATGCCCTCCGCACGACAGAAAGCCCTCAGAAGGTCGGAGGAAAACTCACCACCTCTGTTTGAGTGCACACGCGGAACAGGAAGGTCCGAGCCAAAACTCTCGCTGAGCTGGCGACGGGCACCGCGGATCCAGTCGATCAACACCTCAGTGACCTCACCCTTGCGGCGCAAGGGGAAGATTGTGGTGTAACGCGAGTAGTTGTCAACGACCAGCAGGAAGTAACGCTTGTGACCCTGTCCACGGACGCGGGCTGGGCCCCACACGTCCATGTGGAGAGTCTGCAGGGGAGCCTCTGTCGGAAGGAACTCGGAGGAGTGAGGAGCGGCGCGCTGCCGGCCGTCGACACAAGGAACACAGGTATGGGCAGGCCCCGAAGGAAGGGGAGGGAGGGTCCGGGGAAGACCAGAGACAAGGGTACGGGAGGCCATACCTCGAAGACGAGGCAGGGAGGGGTGACCAAGGCGGTGGTGCCAAAGGAGAGTCTCGTGCGACAGAGGAAGACACAAGCAGGGGGCAGACGCTGGACTAGACCTGGACGCGACAGCAAACACCTGACCAGACGCGGCTACCTGACCAGACGCAATAACCGGAGGAGACGCAGTAGTCAGTGTGTACAGACTCGACCCAGGCCGACGGGTGAACGTGGCCAGGTGGCGGCCCGTCCGAGAGCAAGTGCAGTGGGTCACACGCTGACCTCTAGGGGTGAACTGGTCAACCCACACGTCCTGAAGGTCAGCTCCACTCACCAAGTTCGTAGAGAACGAGGGGAGGTGGAGTCCCGACAGCAAGCCCGACGGGGCCGCAGGACACGGTAGAACTGTGGAAGAGTGTGCAAGGACTGGGCCCCCAGAGGGGTCAGCCAGGGAGACTGCGACAGGCCGACTGAGCGGCGTGAGTGTGGTGCTGTCGCGAAAGAAGGAGCGCGAAGCACCAGAGTCAAGTGTGAAAGTGTGCAAGGCCTCAGTAGGTGCAGTACCAGAGAGAGCAGACTCACCAGCACCTGGAGCAGCAGACTCACTAGTACCTGGAGCAGGAGACTTACTAGTACCTGGAGCAGCAGACTCACTATCACCTAGAGCAGCAGCCTCAATGCCCGGGTCGGGCGGAACACACAGGTAACAGTCACCCTCAGCACTATCAGTCGCAGCATACATGGCAGCAAGGATAGCATCGAAATCAAGATCAAAGATAGCAACATTCTGCTTAAGCAGATCACCCCAGCGAGGGAGCTCAACAGCGTCAGGAAACTGGGCGCGCCAGGCGTCAGTCAGGCAACCGAAGCAGCGCTGCGTAGTGTGTGGCAGCCCGCACGTCTCCTCACGGCGCCCGCCGGTGCGAAGAATGTAAGTGCAGGGACCAACACCCCTTGACCTCCCACGCCCAGCGTACCACTCATGAAGCTGCTGGGCCGACGGGGTCTCACGGGAACGCGGCTGCTGCTGGTGCTGGCTGCCACCAAAGCCTCCACGCTACGCGGCTCCACCTCGACCAGCACCACCGCCACCGCCACCTCCACCACCGCTGCCGCTGCCTCCACCACCGCTGCCGCTGCCTCCACCACCCCCACCGCCGCCACCGAAGCCCCCACTCCCGCCACCACCCCCACCTCCACCGCCACCCCCTCCGCCTCCTCCACCGCCTCCACCGCCGCCCCCACCGTCCCCTCCACCACCCTTGCTCCCCTTGCCCTTGCTGTTGCGGTGCCTCCCACTAGGAGCAGACGCAGCCTCGACCTCCTCAGTGCCAACGAGGTCGACAGCAGCAGCAGAAGCAACAGAGGGGAGAAGGGGGACAGGGGAACACCCCTCAAAGAAAGGGGTGCGAGGGTCGCCGCAAGAAGCACCTACAGCAACGATACTCTTCTCAGCTGCAGTGAGGCGCTCCTCGAGCAGGTCGACGGTGAGCTCGGTGGGGCAAAGGGAGAGAAAGTGGTCCCTGACTGAAGCAAGGGAGTCAGGGAGGCGGGTGACTAGGTAGTAAAGGGTGATGTACATGGGGGGGGGGATTCTTGGCACAGAACTCAGTGGGAAGCGCAGCGCGGTAGCGGGCGTCACTAGTGCGGAGGTGAGTAATGAGGTCAGCGACTGTGGCAAAGGTGGCAAGGTCAGGGAACAGGTACGGCAGCATGAGGCGGCTGAGGGCAGCAGTGGCAGGGGAGGAGTAGCGCGCTACGACAGCGTCATACAAAGACTTAGCAGTCTTGTACTGGCCAAAGTGCACACGCTCAGCAAACGGCAGGTGACTACGAACAGCAAGGCGAGCAACTGCGTCACGAGTGGTCCACTGCGAGCGAACCGTACTGTCAGCAGTGGCAGCAGGTGCAGGAGAGACACCGGACGTGTGATCGAAAAGGGATACTCCGTCCTTAGAGTCACACTGAAGAAAGAGCTGCAGGTCGTCAACCAACACGTCAAAGTCAACCGCACGCCCCTCAGCATCAAAGATATGAACATTAGGGCTAGCCATAGTGGCAGTAGCAGCAGTAGCAGTAGTGGCAGCAGAAGCAGCAGTAGCAGCAGGAGCAGCGCGGGCAGGGCAGTGCGGCTCAGTAGGGCGGCGCGGCTCGGCAGGGCGGCGCGGCTCGGTAAGGCGGCGCGGCGCGGCTGGGCGGCGCGGCTCGGAGGAGCGGCGCGGCTCGGCTGGGCGGCGCGGGTGCTTACCGGGGGCGGGTGCAGGGCAGGGCCGCGATTGGCGGTTAGGTCAGGGCCGCGACTGGGGCGGCAGCAGAGCGGGGCCGCTACCTGGCGGCGGTAGAGCAGGGCCGCGACTGGGGCGGATGAAGGGCAGGGCCGCGGCTGGAAGGCAGGGTAGGGCAGGGCCGCGACGAGCAGCGGCAGGGCAGAGGCCGCGGCGGGCGGCAAGGTCGGGGCCGCGACGAGAGGCGGCAGGGTAGGGCCGCGACAGGCGGCTAGGGTAGGCCGCGACGGGCGGCAAGGCAGGGCCGCGGGTGGCGGCAGGGCAGGGCCGCGACTAGGCGGCTGGGTCGGGGCCGCGACGAGGCGGCGAGAGGGCAAGGCCGCGACGGGCCAAGAAAGCAGGGGGAGGCGATGGGCCGTTAGGGCAGGGCCGCGACGGGGCGAGAAGGCAGGGCCGCGACGGGCGGCACTAGGGCAGGGCGCGCGACGGCGCAGGTGAGGGAGGCGCGAGGCGCGCTTTGGGTAGGGCAGGAAAAAAAAATGTTATCGTGGTGGGCCCTAAAAAAAAACGTTCCCACGAGGGAACCTGCTCAAAATACCATGTCAGAATAGTGAAGGAAGGAATGGCTCAACTAGAAAAGCAGGTGGGTACTAGTGGGAAACCTAAAAGTGTTGTACCCTATATGAACTACCCCACTACAGCATAGACAGACTATAGCATATAAGTTTGACAGTAATGAGATCCGAGGCGAGGGGTCATGGACGCAGTTTCGGGCAGCTTTAATTCAACGTTTCGAACCGATTAATTCGAGCTACATGGCGCGGCGGCAGATTCATCGGCATAAACAGTTCGGCAATCTAACACAGTACACGCAGCAGATGGAGAGCCTCTTCAACCGAATTACCGACCTGACCGAAGGGGAAAAAATCCAAGCGTATACTGAGGGGCTAAAAATGGAAGTCCGCCGACAGGTGATTGCCGCGAACTACAACTACCGCGACATGGTGTTATCAGAATAGTGAAGAATGGAATGACTGAATTAGCAAGCAGGTGGGTACAAGTAGAAAACCTAAAAGTGTTGTACCCTATATGAACTACCCCACTACAGCCTAGATAGACTATAGCATATATGTTTGACACACCCCCATAGGCAAAGTGGGGGAGAACAAGAGGTCACAAGACCGGTCAAGAAAGGCAAAGCAAGCTCAGGGTGGAACACGACGTCACCACGAATTCTGAGCACAAGCAAATGGCCACAAGGCCAGTTCACATGCAGAGTTATATATCAAGGAGAACAAGCAATACAGTGAAAACAACCTAGCAAGTGTAAGCATGCAGGTATATGTATAGAGATCACAGTACAAGCAGAGTCAAGAAGTGAGCAAGTGAGGCCAAGTAGGCACAAGACCTAGCATAGTACAAAAGCGCTGATGATCACAAGGCTGAAGTGCCTTGGTAAAGATATCAGCAGTATTGGCCTGAGTGGCCACGTAATCAAGACGAAGCTGACCACGCTGCTGCAACTCTCGAGCAAGGAAGTAGCGCAGAGCAATGTGCTTCGTTCTGTGCTCCAGTCTGTGCTCCTGACACAAGGCAAGCATGGCCTTGTTGTCGACGTACAGAACTGGAGGAGAACGAGGCGCCTCTCCCAAGTCGGTCAGCAGGTAGGTGAGCCAGCGTAACTCCTGTGCAGCCATGGCACCAGCGTAGATCTCAGCCTCACAACTGGAGCTGAGAACAGAAGACGAGCGGGTAGACCGCCAAGAGACAGAGCCGGAGCCAAGGCTGAAGGTGTAACCCTGTGACGACTGCTGCGTAGCCAAGTCGTCAGCCCAGGAAGCGTCTGCGTGACCAGTGAGGACAACTCGAGCCCGTCCTCCAAGCACGAGCCCCATGCCCGACGTACTGCACAAGTAACGCAACACCCTCTTAGCTGCATCCATGTGCTCCTTCCTGTGTCTACTAGGAGCGACATAGCGTGCTAGAATGCTAAGAGGGTAGGCAAGGTCAGGTCGAGTGGAGGTCATCAGGTACATGAGGCAGCCCACAAG